GTGTGTGTGTGTGTGTGTGTGTGTGTGTGTGTGTGTGTGTCCCAGGGAATAGTTTGGATTGCAGGTTGTGTGGCTAGGGGTGTGTGTGTGTGTGTCCCAGGGAATAGTTTGGATTGCAGGTCATACCCAAATATGTATGTATTATTAAGGAACATTTACTTGTTTTGTTCACCTGTCTCTCTCCTGCTAATGCCGCTTCTCCCCCAAACAGGCTGTTTTACGTTCCTGTTGTCAGTTTTTTAGTGTATATTAATTGCATCTAGGAGTTTTACTGTGGTCTTTCAGATATACATATACTACATTTTAATCAGAAAACCCTGTCTATTGCTTTCTCTTTGTCAGATCCCTAGTGCCCTTTTGCTCATCAGATTTCATTAAGATAACTTATGCCTTTTTTCATACATAGATGCAATGTATTGAAATTATTCACCCACCATCATTTCCCCCTCATTTGAATCCTCCAATTGTGTTCTATGGGTATATATAAAAATATACTTATGTATCTATGTATGTTTACATATGCACGTACTGTTCATGAATATATATGTCCTTCCATAAATAAGCAAAAACATGCAGTATTTGGCTTTTTGAGGTTGGCTTATCTCACACAAGATGATGGTCTCCAGTTCCATCAATGTTTTCTTTATAATTGCATAATATCCCATAGTATACATGTTGAGATCTTCAGCTGACTGGACCACTGGGTTCTGGAAATAGAGATGAAATAAACATGAGTATATTGGCATATTGCTTGTATATTGCTTCACTCTTTAACATATATGCCCACTAATGGTACAGTGGGGTCATAAGGAAAGTCTCCTTTTAGTTTTTTGTGTAACCTCCATACTGATTTCCACAGTGGTTACAGTGGTTTCATTCCTACCAATAATGTAGCGAGTTCCTTTTCTCTGCATCCTGGCCAGCATTTGTTTTTTGGTTTCTTGAAGATTGCCATTCTGATTAGAGTGAGATGAAGTCTTAGTGTAGTTTTTGCTTTTTTTTTTTTTTTTTTGTCGGTTGTGGGGCTTGAACTCTGGGCCTGGGTGCTGTCCCTCAGCTCTTCGGCTAAGGCTAGCACTCTGCCACTTGAGCCACAGCACCACTTCTTGTTTTCTAGTAGTTAACTAGATAAGAGTCTCAGGGACTTTCCTGCCTGGGCTGGCTTTGAACTGCGATCCTCAGATCTCAGCCTCCTGAATAGCTAGGATTACAGGTGTGAGCCACTGGTACATGGCCTTAGTGTAGTTTTGATTTGCATTTCCTTATGGCTCACAATGTTGAACATTCCTTCATGTGTCTATCACCTATTTGTATTTCATCTGAAAACTGCTTTGTCAGTCTGCTTGGCCATATATTAATTGGATTATTTGTTCTTTTGCTGTTCAACTTTTTGAGCTTTTTGTATAATCTGAATATAAGTCCTTTATGTGTTGAATAACTGACAAGAATTTCATTTTGTGGTTTGTATCTTGGTATTTGTTTCTTTTGCTGTGCAGAAACTTTTTAATTTGATGTAGTCTCATTTGTCAATTATTGTTTTTGTTTTCTGGGCAATCAGGGTAACTACCTGTGCCTGTAACTTTGCCACTTTTCCCTGTGTTTTCTGGTAGTAGGTTTAAAGTTTCAAGTGTTACTTTGAGATCTTCAATCCATTGAGAGTTGATTTTGAGATTTAGGTCTAGTTTCAGTCTCATGGAAGTCGATAACCAGCTTTGCCCAGCACCATTTATTGAAGAAGCCGTCTCTTCTCCAGTGAATGCTACTGGCTACCTTGTTGAAAAGGTCAGTTTGAGAGAACCATCTTTCAGATATGGCTGACCAGGCTGGCTCTGAACTGCAGTTCTTAGATGTCAGCCTCCTAAATAGCTAGGATTATAGGTGTAAGCCACTGGCACTTGGTTGGATTGATTTTTCTGTTTCTGTGAAGAATGACCTTTAGAAATGTGATGATAGTTCATTGATTGCTTTTTGGCCATTTTAAGGATATTAATTCTGCTAGTCCATGACTGTGAGAAGTCTTTCTATCTTCTGGGGTCTTTAATTTCTGTCTAAAAGGTTTTATAGAGAGCTCTTTGACTTCCTTAGCTAACCTTGGTATTTTATTGTTTTGTGACTAAAATTGTTTTTCTGACTTCTTTCAAAGAATATTCATTTATTCTGTAGAGATAGCTACTGACGTTTTTAGTGTTGAGTTTATATCCTGTTAGGTTTCTGAAGGTGTTTCCCCAGATATAGAAGTTTTTATCTACAAATAGTGATGATTTGAATCTTTTTAATTTCTTTCTCTCATCCTGTTGCTCTGGCTAGGAATTCTAGTGCTGCGTTGAGCAAAAGTGGTGGGAGTAGACACCTTTGTCTTGTTTCTGACTTTAGTGGAAATGATTTCAATTCCCACTCATTTAATATGATGTTAGCTATAGGTTTTCATCTGTATCCTTTAGAATGTTGAGGTAGGTTCCTTTTATTTCTTGCTTCTTTAGACCATTTATCACAAAGGATGTTGTATTTTGTCAAAGGCTTTTTCTGTGTCATTGAGATGATCATGTGATTCATGTTCTTGATTCTGTTCCTGCTATGTATTATTACATTTATTGATTTGTATATGTTGGACTATCCTTGCATCCTTGGGATGAAACCAAAAATTGATCATTGGGTTTGATCTTTCTAATGTGTTGAGTTTGGGCTGCTAGAGTTTTGTTGAGAATTTTAGCATCAGTGTTCATCAAAGAGATTGGTCTTTGATTTTCCTTTTTTGTTATGCTTTTGTCCAGTTTTAGAATGAATATAATACTGCCTTTGTAGAATGAATCCTTTTATTTTTCTATTTTATGAAAGAATTTAACAAGCATTGTTGTTAGTTCTTCTTTTAAGGTCTGATAGAACTCATCAGTGAATCCATCCAGTTCTGGGCTTTTCTTTGTTGGGAAACTTGTGATTTCTTGTCCTTTGCCTGAAGAATTAACACACACATTTTTAGGTCTTTTCACTATGGAGACAAAAGTAGCAGTGAATATTCTTTGTCTAGATTTTGGCTTCTAAATACTAATTTTCTTCAGAAAGGATCAGTGTTCTTTGAAAAATCATTTATTCAGGTCAGGACAAATACTATACAAGATGAATCAAAGCTATCTTCTTGTGTTAGAAAACAAGAAAAGTTGGGTGCCAGGACAAACACCTGTCATCCCAACAATAGAGGAGACTGAGATTGAACCAGTAAGTCTCTGTTACATTCAAGAGGGTAAAGAAGTTTGAGAAAGTCTGCTCAGTGGAAAGAAACTGGACATGGTGAGACATGTCTGTCAGCTAAGGTACTATGGGAAGGCTAAAATAGGAGGATCTTGGTCTGAGTTAGGCAAAACTTGAGATCCTATCTCAAAGTAGCCAATACCAAAAAGGCTAGAGGGGTTGGTACAGTGATGGAGTATCTGCTTAGGAGGTACAATGTACAGAGTTGAAAATCTATCTCCAAGGAAGAGAGAGAAAGGGAAAGAGAAGGAGAAAAAGGAAGGAAGGAAGGAAGGAAAGAAGGAAGGAAGAGAGGAAGGAAGAGAGGAAGGCAGGCAGACTATAAGAGGCCATTGTAGGCATGTCCAAAATATAGAAGAGACAACTTGAACACACTTTCATTGTCCAAAAATGGGACAATACAAACATCATAAAGAATGACAATAATGAATTGCAGCATCACACACAGACCACATACATACATTCATATATATATTTTTACTTCTTACATGGGATTGTAATTACTAGAAAAAAACTTACCAACATTGAAGATTATTAGGGAAATAGACTCATTTTTCTGAAAATTAATAAATAAAGGTAAGGAAATGAAGCCTTTTCCATTAGAAATTTTATTGACTAAACAAAAAGTTGATTTAAAATTGTTTGTAACAGAATCCCACGTAATGTATACAGAAGGAATAACAGAAAGTCACCATTCAGTAGCCCTAATGAAATAATGACTCTGGATGAGGGACATGGTCGAATGCTAAAACCATTAATAGAAGATTGAAGCTTTCTCTGAACAGTTTAGGATCACTAAAAGTAGATCAATCAGAAATTATAAGCCTCCTAATATAATAGGAAGCTAAAAAAAATTAAGCTAAATCTGATTAAGCCATCAGATCTAACTTAAATTTAAAGGAAATAGGAAGTCTAGAGGAAGAAGTTAAACACCACCATAAGGAAATAATTAGCCAAATTCAGAATAGAGGGCATTGGGCAGGATGAATAACTGTGTTTCTTCAACAAATAAATGGCCTAAAAAGGAGAACAGAAAAAGCAAAATCTTAGGTAAAGGACTTAAGAAGCATAAAGCTAAATGTAAAAGATAAATCTTATTTGGATATTGATTTTTTAGAAAGCAACTATTAAAAAGTCATTCTTTTAATAATCGGTACAAACATGAAGATACTAAGTATCAGGTGATATTAGAGGGCTATAGTTAGTCTTGTCAGGGGTGAAAACGACCTTGTGCTGAAAAACGACCTTGTACTGATGTAGAAGAATACCTGCTAAAGTACTTAGAGGTAAAGTGGTGGGTATTAAGATACTCTAGCAGTGATTCAGTCAGCCAGCAATGGGTTAGATAAAACAGATGAGCAAAGTGTAGATCGTTATGGAAAGTGTGGCTGGGCACTGGTGGCCATGCCTGTAAATCCTAGCTACTTAGGAGGCTGAGATCTCAGGATTGTGGTTCAAAGCCAGCCTGGACAGGAAAGTCATTGAGACTCTTATCTCTGGTTAACCACCAGAAAATCAGAAGTGATGTTGTGGCTGAAAGTAGTAGAATGCTAGCCTTGAGTGATAAAGCTCATGGACAGTGCCCAGGCCCTGAGTTCAAGCCCCCTGACTGACAACAACATCAACAAAAAGTGTATAATAGGAGGTTATACTATTCTCTATAATTTTATACATGATTTTAAATCCTTAATGAAAAAAATATTAAGCTTTGTATTGAAATTGAAAACTTTTTCTGATCTCTTAATAATTAAAAGTCACTGTCTTTTTCTTTTACATTCATACAGATAAGTACAAAAATTTGGGGCACAATTTTTATTTGACATTTTTTAAATAGAGCAACTTGGAAAGGGAGCAGTTCTGTAAAAAATAGATTAAAAAAGTTCTTTGGGAATGGTTTCACTAGTAAAATATGTGCTCTCAAAATGGTTTTGATGAAATTCAGGTTTCATAAAGTAGCACAAAATACTATTCAGTAGTCTCCACCCCCATCTTTTCCATTGTCCCAATTAATTTTCTTCACCACTGCCGAGAGAAACTTCATAAAATAGACTTTTAGAAAAACCCTGCTTTTAAAGATTAGAATCAGATTTTGTGGATCTCTCTCTCTATTTAATTTGACCATACGCTATGTCTACTCTTTGAGTGGGAGTGGTAAGGGAAGTTAAGAATAGGAAAGAGATGGAAGAATACACTAAGAGGAGATAGGGTTTCCACTCAGACTTTTTTCTCTGTGCATTCATTCATTTCAAAAAAGTTTGACCCTACAAGTTTCCTCACTTGGTACAGATAGGAAGATGATCTCTTTGAGATAGAGAGACTGAGGCTCTGTTCATCTTATATTTAGTGCTTATCGTGAGCTCAGGGGCTACAGTGTTGGGAAGGCAAGGAATGTATCCTTGAGTCTGAGGGAAAAGTAGGAATGAGCTATTCAGGTGGTGAGGCCAGAGGAGTAGTATGGGAAGCCAAGCAAAGAGTGCCCTGGAAGAGAAAGGCACTGAAAACTCTGGGCATAGTTTTTATTGGACAATTTTTAATTAAATATAGTATAAAATAAATGAAAAATAAGCTCCTTGGGAATTGGTTTCAGTGATATTATATAGCCTTTCAGAATGGTTTTGATGAGGTTCAGATTTTATAAAGTAGCATGTAGCCTGTGGGCTGGAACTCAGGGCGTGAGAATGGGCAGCACCAGAGCTAGGACCAGGGTCTGACATGGGAGGTGCTTACTTGGCTAGTTTAATTTAATTTGGTCATTAAGATCATCTGATAGTGTAATGTTTTAGAACATAAAATGAATGCAGAAATCTTTAATGTACAAGATAGAAAATTTTCATCTCTATTTTCTAGAACCTTAATAGTTTCATTGAAATTTTTTCCCAGCGTTTTTGTTGGTTGTTGTTTTTATGTAGTCTAGGGTCATCTTGAACTTAAAGTTCTCCTGACTCAGCTTTCTGAGTGGTACCTTCACACCTGGCTAAATATTCCAGCTTTATTGAAATATTGACAAATAAAAATTGTATATATTTAAGATGTTTTGATGTAGGTATATCTTATTTCCAGTCAAACTAATTAACATTGATCTCCTGATATTAGTGTGTGTGTGTGTGTGTGTGTGTGTATCTCTAGATCTACTGTCTCAGCAAATTTCAAGTGTACATGCATTATTACTAACTATATGTACAGTCGAAGTCATTGGATATTTAGATTTCCCTTAAATTTTATACCTTTGACCAGCATCTCCTCGTTGCTCATGACCCATTTTTTCTGTCCCTCTCACAGGTCCTGGCAACCACCATCTATGCTTCTCTAAGTTGGACTTTTTGGGGTTAAGACATCAAAATTTTATTTATTTATTTATTTGTTGGTTGGTTGTGGGGCGCTGTCCCTCAGTTCTTCAGCTCAAGGCTAGCACTCTACCACTTGAGCCACAGCGCCACTTCCAGGTTTTTCTGCTTATGTGGTGCTGAGGAATCAAACCCAGGGCCTTATGCATGCAAGGCAAGCACTCTACCACGGAGCCACCTTCCCAGCTCCAAAGCATCTAAATTTTAAATAAGGACAAGATCAGTACTATGGATTCTGCCCTCCCCCGCCCTCAGGCTCTCACATGTCTGAGCATAGCATTGGGTAATAGAGAACAATCACCTGCTTAAGCCACAAAAAGCCTACACAGTCATACACCTACATATATGTGGGCAGTTTAAGACTGAAAATGACCCTCTGGCTGATCCTATTTAATGGTATGTACTTAGATCTGTGTCATTACTACTTTAGTAAATATGCAGTATTTTGTTGAATTTACTTACAGTAGTGATCTGTGTATCATTTGTCGTGTAAGCAACAGAATGAACAAAACCATATCCATACATTTTTAGACATGTCACCTAAAATGGTTCACTGAGAGCAGGGAAGCTGAAGTTAAGAGTGGCAGTACTGGGCTGGGAAGGTGGCTCAGTGGCTCAGTGGTATAGTGCTTGCCTTGCGTGTATGAGGTTCTGAGTTCGATTTCTCAGCACCACATAAAGCAGAAAAGGCCGGAAGTGGCACTGTGGCTCAAGTGGTAGAGTGCTAGCCTTGAGCTGAAGAGCTGAGGGACAATGCCCAAGACCAGAGTTCAGGCCCCACAACCAACCAAAAAACAAACAACAAAACAAAAGAGTATCAGTACCAGGTCACTAAAGCTGTTTGCCAAGAGATATGGAAGGATCACTTGGTCCCTAGAAGCTTTTTCTAAGAAAGGCCCAATAGGGATATTAATTGAATTTTAATGCTTTCTGATAAACACTGACTGCACAAGGCCTTTTTAGATGAATACTTTCTAATCTGCTCTGACCTTTCCTTGAGGTGTTACAACAGTGATTTGTTGGTAGGTTCAAAAGTACATATAGCTTATTTTGGTGAGGAAGGTTTGGAATGAGTCCATAGAGTGTAATAAGGCAGAATGTGTCCTGCCTATGCATGAATGGGCAAGGTGACTTTTCCATTTCTTTTTTTTTTAATTGTGAAAATACTGTACAGAGGGGTTACAATTACATGAGCAAGGTAATGAGTACATTTCTTGACAAGCATTGTTGCCTCCTCCCCTTACCATCCCTTCCTGTCCTCCCTACCCCTCCAACTTCCATTTCTCAGGCACCATATTGAATAAGACTTTAGTTGATGTTTATTTGTTTTTGCCAGTACTGGGGCTTGAACTCAGGGCCTGGGTTATGTCCCTGAGTTTTCACTCAAGGCTAGCATTCTACCACAAGAGCCACAGCTCCACTTCTGACTTTCTGATGGTTAATTGGATATAAGAGTATCAACAACAGACTTTCCTACCCAAGCTGGCTATGAACTGAGGTCCTCAGATCTCAGCCTTCTGAGTATAGGATTACAGGCATGAACCATTGATAACCCAGCTAGTTGATGTTTTGATGAGGTAAATCAGTTGTTGTAGCTAGCTACTACTGTTATAAAGAGATACAATGCAACATTAAACTTGATGCTATTTTGCTTTCTAAACACTAAAATGTTTTTAGGTGTATAGTGTTGATTGGAGCCAAACCAGAGGTGAGCAGCTCGTGGTGTCTGGCTCATGGGACCAAACTGTCAAAGTGGTATGTCAAAGTCTGTATGTAGAAACAAAGTCCTTTTGTCCAGTGCTTTCACTTAGTTGTCTTTTTTTCCCCCCAAAATATCCTTCTGTAGCTTTACTATTATTCAATATTTTTTTCAAAAATATGTTAAAACACTAGAACTTAAAATTTTCTACTCTTTTAGCTATGGACTAATAATTATCTTATCATTGATTATGTTGGCCTCTAAAAGACTATTTTAGTTTATATAAAGTAGATGATAAAAATTCTTGAGGTAGTATGTATATGTAAACATAGTGTATTGTACATACTGTAGACATAAGAGTATATGTTTTTCTGCTAAATAATCTATTCATTTATTTGTAGTGGGATCCAACTGTTGGAAAGTGTCTGTGCACCTTTCGAGGCCATGAAAGTGTCATTTATAGCACAATCTGGTCTCCTCACATCCCTGGTTGTTTTGCTTCAGCCTCAGGTAAATACTTGTGAATTTACCAAAAATTGGAGTAGCCTAATTTTCCCCGCTAGATGGCACTGTGTGCCCTCGATTCAAAGAAAAGTGTATTCCTATTCTTTAAGTTCTTGGGATCTATCCTTCTTTACCAACTTATTGGCAAGCGGCAGCTATGGCCCAAAGTATCTTTAACCGAATCTAACCTTTAAAGACTGGAAAAATTTGAAGATGATAGATAATGTCATAGCTAAGACATACATTTAAAAGAGAAGATCTTTTTCTTTTAGAACAATATTGAACTTTTGAAACACACAAAGTTTGTCACTGAACAGGTCAGGTTTGAAACTGAAGGTCCTAATGCACAGACCTGGTGCTTTACAATTGTGTCCTTAGCTCATAATTGGTAACTAAAAGCCAAAGCCTTAGAATCGAATATACTAGGCAAATTACTGTCTTCAGATCATAATAACTTGTTCGTAGCTTTTGTAAATAAAGTTTAATTGGAACATGGCCATGTCTGTTTATTGGCATATTGCTTATGGCTGCTCTCACACTAGTGTTAAAGTTGTTAGAGGCTTAAAGTGCTCAAATCCAAAAATATTTACCACCTGGTCCTTTATGGAAAATGTATTCTGATACCTTGTATAGAACTTTGAAGGGAGACAAAGCACTAGAAGCTCTTTTGTATAGTTAATTGCTTATGGGAGGAGAAAAGGTGATAGCTAGTGGAGAAGGTAGTATGCTTCTAGTAGCTTTCATTGACTCATCTGAAGTCTAAAGGTAGGCCTTTCTTCAAGTTCACTTTCTTGTAATTCTAAAATTTAAAGTTATTCAAATTTCTGTGAATTCTGCAAGTATTAGATTGAAAACACTCAAATGGCAACTTTCAAATAAATTATATACATATATATCCATTTAGATTATGCAATATTTTGAGATCCTAATAGTAAATAATGGTAATATTTATGTATGCAAGCATAGCTAAGAAACATCTTTTTCTCGAATTAAAAATTAATTGCATTATTTTTTAAAATAAAGAACTGTATATCTTGTAAACTTATAATACTATTATTTTTAAAAATTTCTATGTTGTCTGGGCCTTGGCTTTCTCATCTATAATCTGAATTACATTTTTTCCATAGTGTCAGATCATTTTAAGGAGAGCAGTAGTAGATTTGTCCTAGTCCCAAATTTTTTTTTTTTTTTTTTGGTCATTCATGGGGCTTGAACTCTGGGCCTGAACGCTGTCCCTCATCTCTTCAGCTTAAGGCAAGAACTCTACCACTTGAGCTACAGCGCCACTTCTGGTTTTCTGGTGGTTTATTGGAGATAAGAGTTCCATGGATTTTCCTGCCCGGGCTGGCTTTGAACCGTGATCCTCAGATCTCATCCTCCTGAGTAGCTAGGATTATAGGGGTGAGCCACTGGCGCCTGGCCCTCGTCCCGTTTTTTATCTGAAGTTGAATTTCCTCTTAGATCTTTTATATTTCTGTGGCACAGCTAGCCATAAAGTTGGGTGTATGTTAAGTAAATGGAAACATTATTAATACTCAATATGAAATTATCTCTTTGATCTATGTGTATAGCTTGCATTGGTCAGATTTTATGCTTTTAATTCCATGCAAAATAGCTTCAGATTTAATGCAAATGAGTTTCATACTTGTAGTGAAGCAGATTCTAAGATAACCACAGTTCACTTTAGTAATCATACTTTTCTATTTTTACCTTTGATGAAAACCCCTAATTCAGAGAGTCTTGGTACAAGTTAAAGTTCTCACAAGCATATATATTAGGTTGACATTAGTATGTATTTTCATACAAAAGAGAGATGTTCTTTGGTGTTATATCTTATAGTTTCAGAGGGCCCATTTCAAACCCTGAATGGAATTAGCAGTATCCATCATAAAAATGAATGGAACACATTTCCCTTTCAGTGAAGGCATGTCTGCTGGGAGCTGTAACTGGCAACAGGCACTACATTTTATCATGAGTATAACTGTACTAAGACAGATTATAGATAGTTTGTTTTAAGTTCTGTTACATGTGATTTTCTTTATAATATTATTTAAGGTTCTAAAATTGAATTTATTTAATCCCTTCTTTCTTCCTTCTTTCCCTCCCTCCTTCCTTCCCTCCCTCTCTCCTTCCCTTCCTTCCTTCCTTTCTTCTTTCCTTTTTGTGTGTGTGAGCTGAATTTGCCACATGCATGCCAAGCACACATTCTATGACTGAGCTACACCCCTAACCCACTTTTGTTATTTTTTTTATTCTGGTGACCAAACATAAAATCCAGTGATAAAAATTATGAACTAATAACAGGTGCATTTATTTACATATCAGCCAGAATTATGTGTATTAGTCCTTTATTTGGGTTGAGTCACACATAACTCCTTTCACATTGAACTTTATGTAATATTGTATACACATATATATTTGTAATATTTACCCTGGATAGTATATATAGAATATTCAGAGACCATCTTTTCAATTATATTATCTTAATGTGTTATATATATATATATATTTTTGTCATATTAATTGGGAATTCTTTTGTAAAAAGTGCACAAAATTTGGCCTATACTGTGTTAAGGAAGAAGGTAGATTTGTTTTCTGACAGAGTTGCCAACTCTTGAACTAGATCTAGCTTTAGAGGGAAAGCTGGATATAGATAGGGCTCTGTCTTTTGTCTTTTATAAGTTACCAGATGATGGCAGTAGCTCCCACCCTTCCATTCTTATGATTTCTGACTAACAGGAAAAGTGGAAGGTCCTCTCTCAGATATTCAGGAGAATTTTACTTTGTCTCATTGGTTCAGTGGGTCCTTGTGGTTGTTTTATGTTGTTTTAATTGACTTAGATCCAGCTTAGCTCCTGCAGTGGCCGGCAGAAAATGGGAATGATACCCAAACTTCAAGTGCTGAGGATATGAGGAATAAATCTTGATTAAGTAGAAGTAGGTGATTAGATTCCAGGGGGCCAATGTGCATTATAATGGTTGTACATTTAAGGCTTCAAATAAATCACAGGGGATTTGAGGAATCAAACCAAACACTAAACCTACAAGCTATGAAATGTGTTCCTTAAAACAAAGCAAAACAATCAACAAAAATAAACTTTTTAAAACTTGCCCCTTGAATCAGATCCATTAATGCTGTTTAGAAGTTTTTGAAAACTCATTAAAATGTTGATTTATCATGTGTGTCATTTTCCTAAAATATTTCTTCATGATAATTTTCAAATGTTAGCTATTTCATTAAGTTTGAAAAAATTGGACATTTCTTCCACTCTGCAAAAATACCACAAGGAGTTGTGGTATAGTAAAAACTTAAAGCAAGCTCTAAAACACTTAATGTGCCTTGGTCACTTCAAGGGAGGCCCCCCAAAAAAGTTGCCTGCCAAGTCATATGCAAGGCATTAATAGGCAGGTGAGCTCCTTAGCAGATTTTCTTTGCACGTCTTGTTTCATGTATTTCCTATAGCTTTCCATATTCTCTTATTCAGTCAAAAGCCTTCCACAGATGAACACTAAAGTGTTTTTGTCTGTTATTTCATATGATCTAGAGCTTATCTGAGTTTCGAAAACACATCCATGGTTCATTTTGATGTTTGAAAAGAACACTCGTCTAGCCCACCAGATATTAAATACATGCCATTTACTGGGCATTGGAGATTCAGTGAGGATGAAAGCAAAGTTCCTGTTCGTCAAGAACATACCATCTAGTGAAAAAGGGAGGTACAAACAAGCTAGTGGTGCTGATACACAGTGGTTAGCACATGGACTTATGGCTTCCTAGCACCATGTTCTTGTTTTGTGGTGGTGTGACATTGGTCATGCTACTTAGCCTTTCTGTTATTTCTACAAGAAGGGCAATAAGACCTATACTATGCAGTTTTGAGGATGCTTGAGTTCATGTACAGGAAGGACTTCAAATGGCTGCCACACACAGAGAGAATAAGAACCCTAGAACTGTTACCTATTTTTATGATAACATGAATTCTGTGGAAATGTATAAATGAACTTGTCAGTGCTAGTGGTCTTCAGGGATGCTTTCCTCAGAAAAGAATGTCCAAGCTACTGCCTTAGGAAGTTAGGAGATTCTTAGGATGGAGGTAAAGATGTGGGTTGTACAGAGAACCATATATTTGAAGAGCATCAGAATGGCCTTTGTAGTGCACATGTGCAGCTAGAATGACTATGAGAACAGATGTTTAAAGTAGCTTGCTCTGTACAGGCTCTGAATACACAGGAATTTTAAAAAGTTACCAATCGCTAGATTCATTAGGGAGCCTGGATAACAACTGAATTCTGGGCTTCACCCAAGTTCTGCTGAATCAGAATGCCTTTTGGGAGGTGTATATTTCATCCCAGTTGAATCAAGTGATCAGCTGTATTTGGAAAGCACTGTATTAGTTTCAGATAGCTCTGTCTGATATGTTAAATAAATAGTTTATATCCACTGATGTGGTGGGAGCTGCCATGTTTGTTTTCATAGGAACATAATCATCTAATTTTTGAAAACCCGCAGAGTGGCTTCAGTGCTGAACTCAGAGATAAGGTGGTTTCTTAAGTTTGAGAAGTTTTGTTTTTTTTCCCTCCTCAGTTTTGTAATAATCTTCAACAATCTTTTTTTTGCATTTTTTATTGTAAAGGTGATGTACAGAGGGCTTACAGTTATAGTAAGTAAGGTAATAAGTAAATTTTTTTTTGGGGGGGGTCCAGTTGTGGGTCTGAACTCTTGGCCTGGGCGCTGTCCCTCAGCTCTTCAACTCAAGGCTAGCGCTCTACCACTTGAGCCACAACGCCACTTCTGGCTTTTTTTCCCCTGCTTATGTGGTGCTGAGGAATCGAACCCAGGGCCTCATGCATGTAAGGCAAGCACTCTACCACTGAGCCACCTTCCCAGCCCCATAAGTAAATTTCTTGTCAAACTTGTCACCCCTTCCCTCATTTTTCTCCTAATTTCCCTCCCCCTACCCCACACCCTCAAGTTGTGCAGATCATTTCCAACATATTGTCTTGTGTATATCGCTGTTGCATTGGTTCCCCCCATGTTCTTTGTTTCACCATTGCTTGCTATAAAATATACCATAGTCTTTGCATAAAAACAATCTCAATTGCAAAGCTCATAGTTATGGAACTCAACTTATTTTTAATGATAGGATAAAAGCTTCTATGATAAGCTTCTATGTGTGGCACATATATTGTTAGCTATTTTATTCAGTCTTACATTTTAAGATAATATATGGAAATAAACCAGTTAGGCTACTCCAAGAGTTTAGTCTCCTTAAAGGTTATGTAGGACTTGAATTAATTATTATTAGTAAAGTTAAAACCAAAAAGGAAGAGATAAATGTAGGTATATCTTCATAGCAGAGTTCTCAAAGGGTATTTTGTTTTGTCTAGTTCATGAGACAGAAAGGAAGGATATATGAGCTATTTAAATAAAGGGAATTAATATGAAGTAAACTTTCTTTTGAATCATGAAAACTAAATTACTCCTATTACAGACTGCATAATTGCATAAGTCTTAGCTGTGCCTCAATGTGTGGGGTCTAGCAGTAGTTAAAATAAACCTCATTGTATTGTAAGGAAAAATCATATTTCATATGAGAGACATCTGGCATTTCAATTAGATTAATTTATTTGGGCCCAAAAGTACTCTGTCAGGACTCTGTTGTCTTGACAGTTTTAGACTCTGTGTATACTCATTGTTCTTCCTCTTACTTGCTGCATTTTGAAATTAGGCAGAGTCATAGTACTCCCTGCCAATTGGTTTTGCTGCCAGTGGCAGGTCTGCAACTGATAAGAGAAGCTGGTGATTCAGGTAGGACTATGGCATCATCAAGGACCCTGATGAGAGTCTGGCTGGCAGTGAAAGGCCAGGGCCAGGTGTCTGGAGATGGGATTAATATAAATGCAGACGCCCTGGCAGCTGGAAGAGTGGAATGTCACACACTGCTAGAAGGCCTCTTTCTTGCCTGGGCAACAGAGATGAAGACAGAATGTCAACAGTGTACAATAAAAATGACTTTCAGAGACGTGGGGTTCTTAACTCCTGTACAGCAGTCTTCTTTTTCTGTCCCTCAAGTTAATGCCAGGAGGACAACCTAAGCCATGACTTAAATCTATATATTGCTTGAATATGATGGTGCAGAGCCAGAATATTGTGTGAGAGATACTGATTCACCATCAACCCAACCTTTGTTGTTGAATCTCTTACACATACCTAACAGGTGTGTACCCTTAAGTGAACAACTTGACTTATTTTTCACAGTGAGCCCATCTGTGTAACCTTTACTTGGATCAATAAACATGATTACACCAGAGGACTTCATCTAGTTCTTTATGTCCCTGCTCCTCCCCACTACCCCACCTCCAGGACATCCAGCTCTGCCTTCTAATAGCAGAGATTAATACTTTGCTACCTGTTGTATGCTTTTGTGTCTGATAACTTTTGCTCATCCTTCTGTCAGGTGAGACTCACTCATCATAGTGCTACAGTAGATTATTTTTAATCTCCTAGTCTTCACTTTAAATCAGTTCACATTCTCAGAGAAGGTAATAGTCAGGTAACACAGCTCATTAGACTTTAGACAATTCTTTAATCATGGCTATAGAAGACCTCCAAGTTCTTAACTTACTATTAAATTGTATCTGGTTTTGAAAGCCATTGGTATGTTAAAGAGGAAGCCTCATGTTAAATCAAATGTTGGGATTTTTTAGAGACAAAAACTTGGGGAGTATACCATCTACCCCCCCCTATGATAAGAAACATCCTTTCTACTCACAAGTGATAGAAGTAGAGCTGTTGTAGGTCCTTGGCACATTTGTTGAGAAGCGTACCGACAAAGGGAAGGGTTGTTTGAACTGCCCCAGGACAGTGTCTCTCATCTGAATTTGTCACTGCTTGGTAACTTGACTGTAGGCTTGCTTTCTCCATACAGTAAGACTCTTGGCCACCAGAGGCTCCATGGCTACTTTGACCTTCCAGCTGCAGAGTGATCCTGTGTGGAGAATTACTTGGAGAAGGGAGTGTGCTGTTCCTGGAAGAAAGTTGTTGCTAGCCATCCACATCACTTTGAGATAGACACAAAAGGCTAGGGCAAGAAAGGAAAAGTCATTTCATGAAAGCTGTTTGGAGTTCTGAAACACGTTCTCCTGACTGGTGGCTAAACTGGAGACTGATTATTTTTAGGGTGCCTACAGGTGTTTGAAGCTCTAACCTGAACCAGTTCAGAACTGATTCCCTTTGTATGTCCACACTCATCGATCCCTTTCATCCCTATTGTCCTTAGATCCAAAAAATGCCAATTACTTTCATCTATCAAAGTGTTCTTCAACCTTTTATAAAGTACCTGGATGGTGTTTTCAAATGAAAGTGGAAAAAGATCTCATATGTATGCAAGGAATAGTATGTATTTATGAATCCATAAAAGTACGCCGAAAACATATGAAAGAGATGCCTATCCAATTCCTGATTGCTGAACTGTCAGGGTGGGGAGGGAGGTAGAATGGGATTGGGAGCACAATGAAGATTTTAACTTTATCTGTGGTGTGTTAGGAATTTTATTTTAACATAATTCAGGAGAAAATAACAAATGTCCCAATGACAGAGAGAAAAAACACCTCTCTCCCCCGATTTAGAGAAAAAGTAACCTCGTTGGAGGAATACTTCCTCAAGCAAGCATCAGGCAGCATGGACTGTATGGCATTTGTCTAGGACAACATGAGGAGGTGGCACAGAGCAGTGGTTCTGGTTCAGGTACAGGTTCCATTGCCTAGTGTCCCAGGCTCCATTTTCCTCATTTGTAAAGACTAGAGCAATTGCTTTGATAGTATCATAATTCCTGCTTCATGTCATTACTGTAGTATTTTATAAAAAGTTAAGATGCATAAAATGTTTAGAACAGCATCCAATGCATAAGCATTCAATAACTATTACCCATTATTTTTGTTATTAATGGAGACAGGAATGACTTCCGAACATGGGCATTTGTCTCATTTTCTTGAACAGTAAGGTTATATGGCATATGTGGCATATACTAAGCCCCACTGCCTTACCTTGTTTCAACCTTATAGGTAGTTCTTCATAAGTATGGAAACCAAGGGTCAGTAAAGTAACTTGATTAGACATTATCAGCCAGCAGATGATCCAGTGGGATTAGAACCAGGCTCTAGAACTTCAAAGCCCCTGTTTTTCCTCTTGCCCTATTTTCTTGCAGTGCTGAACCCTGGGTCTTGTACATGCTAGGAAATTGCTCTGCCATGGAATTCAGAGCTCTTGTTCTTGACCTCAACATTCATTAATGGCACACATTCTTATCTTTCTTATACAGCTTTCAGAGAAGTCAAAAACATTGTCTAAATTTAGCTATTTGATGTGACGATGTGATTTAGAATTGGGTATATAAAATAAGTAAAGGTCAATTTTAATAATTAGCATCTTTGGTTACCATATGTTATAGTGTCTACTGTGTACTAGAGACCATGGCTAGTGCTTTACAGAAACTGCATTCTAGTAAATTCATATTTCTAGCTTTTATTTATCCTGTCATTTTTTTCATTTTATTTCTTTCATAGTTTAGAAAAATTGAAAGCAAACCACACGCTTAAATCATTTAGTCAGGGTGACTTTGTACAGTTAGGCAAAGCAAATCATTCTTGTAATATCCTTAAGATGAGGTCTCACACACACACACACCCTATTCTTGTAATATCCTTAAGATGAGGTCACACACACACACACCTTTTTTTTTTGGTGCGGTCGTGGGGCCTGAACTCTGGGCCTGGGAACTGTCACTTCAGCTCAAGGCTAGCGCTCTACCACTTGAGCCACAGCACCACTTCCTTTTACTTCTGCTTATGTGGTGCTGAGGAATCGAACCCAGGGCCTCAGGCATTCAAGGCAAGCACTCTACCACTGAGCCACCTTCCCAGCCCAGCAAATCATTCTTGTAATATCCTTAAGATGAGGACACACACACACACACACACACACACACAAGTAAGCAAACAAAACCACTTACAAGTCAAAATTCTTTGTCTCTGTGAGATTCAAATTTTCTTTGAGTAGGGGTTAAAACATTATTGTTCTGTATTGCTTTCTGTTGCCTTTCACGTTTAGTAGTTCTTATTTAAAATCATACAGAGATGGCAGTATCCTAACAGGGGGAGTATCTTAGCTTGATTTACCTTTATGAGCAGCACATTGTGTCCTGAGCACCTGCTGTGGGGATGGAACGTGAGTAATCAAGTCTTACTTTCCAGGTGATCAGACTCTGAGAGTTTGGGACATGAAGACCACAGGAGTCCGAATTGTGATCCCAGCACATCAGGCTGAAATCTTGAGTTGTGACTGGTGTAAATATAATGAGGTACACGTGTGGCTCCATTTTGTGTGGCTGCTCTTCCTAATGTTGAAACGATCAGTTTCGTTTGTCTTTGTTTATGTGGACTTGGGTGGACCATTAAGTAAATGCAGTCCCTTTTGTTTCTAATTAGTGATTGTGACTGACATGCATTAGCATTAATTGAATCTAAGTGCTCATAAAGCAGGAAAAGTAAAAAACACAAATTCTCAAAAGTTCAGCAGTGCAGCCCTTCCAGTTTGTTTTGGGAAAGTGCTTTATAATTTTTGTAATTTTCTCCTTCCTTCCTTCCTTCCTTCCTTCCTTCCTTCCTTCCTTCCTTCCTTCCTTCCTTCCTTCCTTCCTTCCCTTCCTCTCTCTTTCTTTTTCTTTCTTTCTCTGTGTGATTGCTCTTCACCCTGCCACTTTGTATCATCTTTTGCTTTACTTTCTTTTTCATTTTACTAATCTAGACTGATGAACTTTTTGTAATTTGATTTTTAATGACAGTCTTGATGTTTTTAAATTTTTCTTTCATCTTATTTTATATGCCTAATTTCCAAATTTCTCTATGATAGCCATGTCCATGTGTAACTGTTTTCAAAGCTTCAGCCACATGAGCAAAGAATTGAAAATAGAAAGAGATTTAATATATGCAAATGTACTTAATTGTTTTTTCTTTCTTTTTCTTTTTTCTTTATTTTTGCCAGTTTTGGGGCTTGAGCTCAGGTCCTGGGCACTGTCCCTGAGCTTCTTTGGCTCAAGGCTAGCACTCTACCACTTGAGCCACAGCACCAATTCTGGCTTTTTTTTATTTATGTGGTACTGAGAAATTGGGCTTCATGCACGCTAGGCAAGCATTCTACCACTAAGCCACATTCCCAGCCCTACTTACTGTTTCTGTACCAGTGTTTTGGTTTGGTTTTGTTTTTTTTTTTGGGGCGGGGGGTCCAGTCATGGGGCCTGAACTCTGGGCCTGGGTGCTGTCACTCAGCTCTTCAGCACAAGGCTAGCACTCTACCACTTAAGCCACAGTGCCACTTCCGGCTTTTTTCTTTTTGCTTATGTGGTGCTGAGGAATCGAACCCAGGGCCTCATGCATGCAAGGTAAGCACTCTACCACTGAGCCACCTTCCCAGCCCCACCAGTGGTTTTTGACTGCAAAAAAATTGTCAAAACATATATACCCTATTTTCTAATTTTAAATTAACAAAAGAACATTATACTGGCAGACTCATTTACATAAAAAGAAAGAAAAACTAGTACATATTTAGTAGTAATACTTGATTTATGTGAGAATATCAGTGCTGATGGCTGCAGTTTCAATTTTGACCATCACAAGTGAATTTTTCTTACAAGAAAAATTGTGGCATATGTGATAATTCAGTAATGTGAAAAAGATAATGTTATATACTTTATTGTGATCAAAACTTTTTATAATCATTGCAACTTTCATGCAAATGATCTTATATTAAAGCCTCATGTATCTAGACAATGAATTGCTGTTCGGGTAGATGTAGAGTAGGCTGAGCACTGTCTCTTCAGCCAGGAGCTCTGGGCTCACCACAAGTTCTAGGTAGCAGAACATGTAAAGACTTAATATAGATCAACTGTAATGTTGTCATAGTTGACCCTTCTCTGGATTGTTTCCAGAATTTGCTGGTGACCGGAGCCGTGGATTGCAGTCTGAGAGGCTGGGATTTAAGGAATGTACGACAACCAGTGTTTGAACTTCTTGGTCACACCTATGCTATTAGAAGGGTGAAAGTAAGATTTTACATTTGCTTTTAATATATAGATGAAAATACAAATATAATCAATAAAGCATACATAAAAGAGTATTTTGGTGTTTATGGATTGTTTTGTTGAATTTATTTTTTATTTAGTAATTCTGGGTCCAGCCCAGGGCTTGTTGACTCTAGCAACAGCTCTCCTACTGAGCTACATTCCCTGCTGTTGGTTTTATTAGATAGTATTGTTATGTATTCTAGGCTGGCTTAGAACTCTCAATCCTCCTATGTACTCAGTACTCTGGGATTTGATTCCTTTTTCTCCTGGTCATCAATATTAAGAACAAAAATTCACTCAGATATTTGAATGATTATTGAATGATTAGGACAATGTGAATATTCAGTATATTAAGTTAGATAAAAATGTTTTTCTTACCCTATACCCCCTAATATATTTTAAGATTATTTCCTAACAGTATCAGTTTACCTTTCTGTATTATAATTCTTTATACTTTTCTATTCAGTAGGAAATTCTCTACTTTTTTGAGATTGATATAGAGATGATTAATTTTGCCTTTGACATAGTGATAACTGAATATTTACAAATAAGTAGGATATAGGAAAATTTCTACTCTATTACAACAGCAGCGAATGAAGTAACTTTTTAAAAAAGTAATAAGTTAATTTCTCAGTTCTTATTTAGGTGTGTTCTTCTATGTTACTGTGGAAAACACCTTAATTATTTTGGGGAGGTTATTCATTAATGGCTAAAAATGTATCTTATTAATATTTTCTATAGGGTAGTCAGACCTGATCCTATAGTTAAAATTCTAAATCTCTTTTAAATTAATATTTAAGTTTTATTGACTATTATTCAGGCATATAAGATATAGTACTATATTTTGATTTGTTTAGATTTTAATGGTAATCTTATGTAGAAAAGTTATATTAGTGAAAACATAGTTTCTATGTATATTTTAGAGTGGTTGTGAGAATGAAGTAGGGTAGTGTAGTGAAAATGCCTTATGAACTGTAAAATGCTATTCAAATGCAGTTATATATGTGTGGATTAACTTATTGAAATGATGGTGAGTCTGATATGTACCTAGTGCTAGAGCTCCTTTCTACCATGCATGAGGCCTGAGTTAGAGTCCCAGCACCGCCTCCCCCCCAGATTAAATAAACAAATGATTAACTAAAATGCTGGTAAGATAAACACTAAATAAATATAAATACAAAGGGCACCCTCTGTGGTATGTTTATTGTATTGGTAATGTTACTTGACAGTAAAATTGTCATTTTTCTCCTTGCAGTGATTTTTCATTATTCTCAATATGTAAATCTCGTAAAAAGTATTTATTACAGGCACTGGTTGCTCACATTTATAATCCTAGATAGTTAGGAACCTGAGATCCAGAAGATTGTGGTTTTAAGGCAGCCTGAATAGAAAAGTCTCCATCCCTAAAATAACCAGAAAAAAAGCCCAGGAGGCATGGCTCAAGCAAGCAAGTCAAGCAAGCATGAGACCCTGAGTTTAAACCCCAGTACTGGGGAAAAAATATTTTAAGAGTATTTTAATATTTAAATGTTTATTTTGATACTTATTTGTAGAATGAATAATAAAGCTAGTAAATGCTATAATTAAATTTATGTCTTATCACATACTTAAATTTCTTAATTTTGCAGAAACATGTTTGGGCAGCCAATAAGAGTGTTTATTTAATTTTTTTCAGACTATCAATGTTTTGGGAATACTTATTACAAATAAACTTTTAAAAGCTTGAGGGATGATTTTCTCTGGAGAATGTAAGAATAAATATTTTTCCTATAAATGGATTTTTTTTTTTCGGTCCTGGGACTTTAACTCACGGCCTGGGTGCTGTCCCTGAGCTCTTCAGCTCAAGGCAAGTGCTCTACCACTTGAGCCACAGCGCCACTTTCAGTTTTCTGGTGGACTTTCATGGACTTTCCTGTCCAGGCTAGCTTTGAACTGTGATCTTCAGATCTCAGCTTCCTGAGTAGCTAGGATTACAGGCATGAGCCACTGGTGCCCAGCTTATAAATGGATTCTTAAAAGGCTAAAACACTTTAACTCAAAGTATGTAAGGTTCAGAAAGACATACTTTTTAAGTGACAGATCTGAATAACTTGTTTATTATAATAATTCATGGAATGATTACAGGAAATAGCATATTATAATTACAGCTAACTTTTTCTTTTATTTAATTTTCTTTTTTAGTTTTCACCATTTCATGCTTCAGTGCTGGCCTCATGTTCCTATGATTTTACTGTAAGGTATAGTATTTTTTTAAATACATATTATTATGAAGTACCAAGTAAATTTGTATCTTTGCAATTTTTCTGAAAGATAATGTATTTATTTTATTAATAATAAGCATCTTTCCTGCTGTTCAATCTTACTTTCTTTTAAAGTACTAACTTTTTAAGCCCACATTCTGTGTCTGGTATACTTTTTTTGTAAGGACTTTCTAAGCATTTGGATTCATTTTGGCTGTATTATATTAGTCACTCACATCTCTCTCTTTATTTCTCATTTATTTGATGTGCTAGAATCTATATAGCTTGGTGTAAAATGCGTTTCTATTAGAATAAATTATAACAGTGTCTTGAGAGAAACTTGGTTTTCCGGATTGATCCAATACAAGCCATTAGACAAACTTGGAAATACAGGACTGGAAGCATGGCATAAATGGTAGAGCATCTGCCTACTAGCAAGCCCGAGGCACAGAATTCAAACCCAAGTATAACCAAAAAGAAAAATGGGGGAGGAAGGAAAGGAAGGAAGGAAGGAAGATATAAAATCCAAATTAGGAAATACAATCACACTCAGATTGCTCACCATATACCCCAAACTCCAGACTTGAACTGTGGAACTAGATTACTGGCTGGAGGTTAGAGTTGTATAGTGTGTTTGAATACATTAACTTAGTGATAATTCACTCCATAAGAATGAGTATGCTAAAAAATGAGTATGTAAAGAAAAGCAGAACAGGAGGAAGTTGATGTTGGAGGGAGGAAGGAAACAGCCCACTAGAGTAGAACCCAGAGCAGTGTGTCACAGAAACTGCAGAACAGGAGATGAGCAAAGATGTTGAATTCTCCAGATAGGATAAGCAAGATGGATAGGGAGCTCAGAACCTTCTGCTACACATTGTCACATCATGGGAACAAACAAATCCTTGGATTTCCAAAACTTTTCTGGTGTCTGAAACTAGTCTCCAGAAGCCCTACTCAATCGATACTGTATATTTGATCTTTTGGTGATTGCATTTTTATAATCTTTAATGACTTTAATTGGGTCTTCCTAATTTGTAGGTTCTATTTGTCTAGGTACATCTTTAATTTTTTTTGGTGTTTTATTTGTTACTAAAGGGTGATGATGACCTCCCATATGTTCTTTTTAGAATTGTAACTATGGCCTTAACCCTACTGACTATTCCCTATTTTATTTATGTCCTTAAGTACCACTTTTCCCTCCTAAACACTAAGTTGGGAAATGCCTTGGTTTGAAGATACAAATTTGTCTCAGAAATATTTGGTACAACTGCATGTGAGCTGAATTGTTCTAAAATCTTGTAGGTACCAAACCATACTCAGAAAGCATTAGGCTTTATATCTTCCCTGACTCCTGAGGAATAGTAGAGATTGGGAGAGGGGTTTAGTGTTCTTGGGGGACAAATGGCCAGGATCATGCTTTCATGCTTTCATTTCATGCTTTATGCTTTTATTCACAGGCATGTGGAAAAATTAAGACTATAATTAAATAAGAAGGGATCTTTAATATTTAATTAAAAAGATCTTTAAATAAGCAATTACCCTGCATAGAGACCAGGTTTCTTTAGATATAATGGGGGAAATTCGTAATATCTGTCCTCATAAGCTCACAAGGTGATTGTAAGAATTATATAAGAGGTCATCTTTAAAAATACTATGATAATTCTTAATTATTTTTCCAGCTCTTGCTATGAAGCCATCGCCTCAACTTTTATTTGGTTTGGGGGGGCTCAAGCATAAACCTCAATTGCTACATAAGTCTGAAAAATTATATTAAGTTGTCTTCTCCATTATTTTAACTTTTAGTTTTAGTATTAGGGAATGAATTTATTTGCTAGGAAAGTATTCTACCACTTGAGCCAGGCTGGCTTCAAATTGAGATCCTCCAGATCTCAGCCTCTTGAGTAACTTCATTACTACTTCAAGATTTTTTCTTGTTATAGATCTTATTATGTGGTTTATTTCTTGTTCGTTCAGTTTTGGTAAGTAGTGCATCTAGAATTAATCCATTTCTTCTGTATGCTTGAATTTATTAGTATATGTTTTAAAAGTATTCCTTAATAACTCTCTGGATTTCATTGGTATTTGTTGTGATATCTCTATTTTTATCTCTGATTTTTTTCTACTTCTTTAGGTCAGTTTAGCTAAGGGTTTATCTATCTCATTTATTTTTCAAAGTTACAACTTTTCATTTCATTGATTCTTTGTACAGCTACTTGAGAGGCTGAGGTAGGATAATTGCAAGTTTGAGGTCAGCTCAGGCAGAGGTAGCAGTGATACCCAGTGATACCCTGTCTCAAATAACAGATTTAAATTTGTAATCCCATTGAAGTCTAAGACCAGTATGGGTACAAAGTTAGTGAGACCTTGTCTCAAAAAATAAGTGAGATGTAGTCATTCAGACGTGTAATCCCAGCTATATGGGAGGCATACGTAGGAGGCTGCTTATGAGGGTTACTGACCAAATATTCAAGATCCTGTCCAAAAAAGTAACTAAAGTCAAAAGGACTAGGAATATGGGTCACATGGTAGAATACTTGTCTAGCTACTACAAAGCCCTCAGTAACCCCCCTCCCCCATGCCTCCCACACACACACACATACATACGTTTCCTGACTTGTGTTGGTTCTACATAAGAACCAAGCAAAAACTGCTTTGAACTTTGTTCTTTTCTTGTTAGTGATGCAGCTTCGGTGAGTCAGTTCCAGCCTGCCCAGGGAAGCAGCCAACACTGCAGTGTGCTGTGTTTCTGAACTAGAATGTTGAGAAGGCTATGTGTGGTGTAGTAATTGAGATTGTGTCTTATCATTTCTGTTTGCAATGGGTTTACTATTGTAAGTTGAGGAGCATCTGTAAACATTGTTAATTGAAGTGGATCACTTTCTGCCTGGGCTGACCCTGAACTGTGATCCTTCCTATCTCTGCCCCCCAAGTGGCTAGGATCACAGGTACAAACAGGTATGAATTATTCCTGGCATGATTGCTTTTTTTTTTCTTTTTTGCATCCTATTAAATAGGTCATTTCACAAAGAGAAATTAGCAAACTAGATATGTATGACAATAAAAGTAAAAACTGCTGACGTATTATGTTTCAAATATTACCTCTTCTACATTCTCAAATAGATAAAGATATGACTTTGCTAAGATGAGAAAGCTACAATGATGAGTTTCGACTCCATTTATTTATTTATTTTTAGTGCCAGTCCTGGGGCTTGAACTCAGGGTGTGGGTGCCGTCCCTGAGGTTTTCTGCTCCAGGCTATTGCTCTACCACTTGAGCCATTACTCAATTACTGGCTTTATTGGAGATAAAAGTCTCACAGACTTTTCTGCCCAGGCTGGCTTTGAACCATGATCCTCAGGTCTTAGTCTTCCAAGTAGCTAGGATTACACTGGTGTCTAGTGGTTTCACAATATTTTTATAAGTATTCCAACCTGTAAAGTATCTTATAAATGGCATTTGATAGTAATAAACCAAACCAGTTATTTTTTGTATCTTTTGTTGTCAAGAAAAAATATGAAGAGAATTTTAATTTCCATGATAACAAACTGTCCTCACCCCTGGTGGGCATGATGCGAGCCTCTCTCAGCAGTGTTAACACCGCCAGTACTAATGATTCAGCTCTTAAACTTGAACGCAACTTCTCAGGATTGCACAGCTTACGCTATGTTTATACTCAGGTGTATTTGCAGAATGTCTCTTATCTATAGCCAGGTTGGAATATCTTGCTGAGAGAGTCTAAAATGGAAGGCTTCTAGGGAAGTAGAGGCAAGGCTGAGGGAACGCCAAGTCTGTCAGCCTTTTTGCTGTAATGGGAGATGTGTGGCCACAAACAGGAGTGGAGCAATGGAAGACAACTGAGAGGAGTGATTATTGGGTATCACAAATTGCAGAGCCAGACTGCGTTCCACTAGCTGTATAAGCTTGGCCATGTTATTGTAAAACAACATGACTCCATTTTGTCCCGTGTGAACTAGACACCAGAGAGCATTCACTGAAGAATTACTGTGTTGATTCAGTGACTTCACATATACGAGTATGGTACCTGGGAAGTGCTAGAGATATGGGAGCATTTTCCTCATCTTACATTTGCTGCTGTTATCAGCATTAATTGGCAGAATGGGTGGCGACGGAAGACTATCTCTTAGGGCTTCAAAGGTGAAAGAATCATTTCTGTCTTGCAGTAGTAAAATCAGCCTCAATTTGGCCTTTGATTGTCCTTGGCAGTTCAAGAACAAAGTGATGGGAGGTTGTCTGGACTCAGCCTTGTCCCTCCACATCCTTTGTTCTTTGGAGAACTTTGGGAACATTCCCTGAGCTAGACATCTCATGCTGTGGGGTGAGTGTCTGAATCCTTGAGCCACGAAGACACAGGGAGGAAGGGAGCCTCCACCCTTTCTATGCTATGAAATAAAGGAAGCGCTGCCCGCCTTGTGAGCATGTCCAGAAGTTTCATGTGGTAGACTCTGTAAATGTTCTTGGCACATAATTGGTCCTTAAAAAATAATAGATGTTTTAGGTAAGAAGACTAATAGTAATAATAAGTTTCTTATTTTAAACTGTAAAGTAGCTCAGGGAAAGTTGAGAGATTAATTATTTATGCCTTATCTAGCATTATATTAATAAGATAATTATGATACTTCAAGCCCCCAAGGAGCTTTGTGAATAGAAATTTTTATTGTACTGTGCAGCTGAGGTAGGGAAAGGAAACCTTGTGAACTTGGAGCAGCAAGAACCAGAACAGTGCTCATACCACACAAAGGAGATATGGGGCCATTTCACTCAAAGCCACAGCCAAGCGACCTCATCTGCTTCACTCTAGGTTGCTGAAATAGGTCCTCTGAAGCACTCTACGTTATAGATAAATATTTGCTAGAAAATTGTTCCTATGGAGGCAGCATGATGTAATAGAAAAAGATAAGAGTTTACAGTTTTACGTTTTTCCATTACCACCAGCACTATTCATAATGTATAACCTTAATTACATTATTTAATCTCTC